TAACTTTTTGTACCTGAAAAGGGTCATTTACCAGAGAATGGGCACTCATGAGAATGTGAGAATATAAGGTTCGCTTATCCGAGTTAAAATGGGGTTAGTTATTAAAAGGAGAGGGGCACTTCTTACAAAGGAAAAGGGGCACTTGTCAAAGTAAAAGAGGCACGTACCTCTCAGATTTAAATAGGGCAATTATCAGAGGTGAAGGGGGCACTTATCAAAAGAGAAAAGGCACTTACTAGAGATTAAAAAGGGGAAGGGGCACCTTTACAAATTAATAAGAACACTTGTCAAAGTAAAAGGGGCACTATTGTTATGTACAAAGGGGCTTTAAAAAAGTGTGTGTGTGTGGGGGGGGGGGCGCCTCTGCATCAGACAAGAAACTCTGACTATTTGATACTCTTATTCTGTGAAACACAGTGTCCTAGACTGTACAGGGTTTCCTAGCACGAACAGTTGCAAAAACATCGTCAAACCAGCACTGTGCATGCATCAAGTGCTTAAAGATTTTTTCGATACAAACAACGTGCCTTCGGTGTGATTATTACGTCACGATAGAGTGTGTGCAAAGTGTGCATTTTCTCATACGCGTAATAGATGCGCAATAAAAATGACAATACACCAGTTTAAGCAGCGCTCTAGGTCATTGGCTTTATTTTCAAGCCAATTACAATGGCGCCCCTAACCGTAAACTGGTGTATACACAAACAAAATACACCAGTTAACGGTTACATCAGTGCGCATGCGCAGACATGGGCGCCATTTTAATTGACGAGTAAACAAATCCAATGACCTAGAGGTCAGTTTACACGTAAATTAAGACGGCGCCCATGCAAATATGATGTGAGCGAACAGCGCAGGCAGTGCCGCAACCATACATGCGCATCTAAAATTAAAAAAACATTGATGACACTGTCTGCGCTGCCTGTGCTCACATCATATTTGCATGGGCGCTATCTTAATTTACGCGTAAACCACTGACCTCTAGAGATCAATGTTTTGTTTACCCGTAAATTAAAATGGCGCACATAACCGTAAACTGGTGTATACACCAGTTTACAGTTGTATCAGTGCGCATGCGCAGATAACCTCTGACCTCTGGTATTTATGCGTAAATTAAGATTGCGCCCATGCAAATGATGATGTGCGCGCACAACGCAGCGCGTAGGGCAGTGATATTATCAAAATTTGCATGGGCGCAATCCTAATTTACGCATAAATACATGACCTCTAGGTCATTGGCTTTGTTTAAAATGGCGCACACAACTGTAAACTGGTGTATTACGCGTAAACCAATGACCTCTAGGTCATTTGGTTTGTTTACTCGTAAATTAAAATGGCGCCCATGTCCGCGAATGCGCACTGTTGTAACCGTAAACTGGTGTATTGACTCTACATTATTGCCCACTAGTTTAAGACGCATTTTGTCATTGACTTTTCAGATCGGGCAATAATATTTGTTCATTTGTTTACTGTATAATTTTATTGACCGGCAAATTACACACCTAATCCCATTGACTTTCTGACCTGGCAATATTTTTATTTTTTTGCCTGTAGTTTTGTTGGCTTATCCATTAAACCTTGCCCTGCTCAGATGCCTCATACGATTAATAATATAAATTATATACCTCACTTAAGAAATCCAGCCATCTGATTGGTCGAAATTGCAGTCGTGGTTTGAGCCATTCCCGTAAATAAACAAAAAATGCCAAACCCTTGTATTAGTTCTAGAGTAAATCGGTAAAATTCCGGCAAAATTCCAGTTACCATGGTTACCGGGAAAATAGTTCAGTCTTGCTGAAATACTTATTGGTTTACGTGTTAAAAACTGGTTTGAGCAAGAGCGAATACCATACATTGTTTGTGTGCGAATCGAAGTCCAATTTCACACGTTTGCGTGCTATCGTGAAATCGGAGCAAATGGTAATGACATTACTGGATTATCTAGCAGGAGGAGGGTACTACCGGCAAGTTGGGAGAAGTGCCGGATTGTCAACATCAGCAGAATTCCGGCACACCCATCTTGTAGCCGATTTCCTTTTCGACATTGCACGGCACCATATACAGCTACCACAACTTGACGAAATGCAGCGTTTCTCGTCAGAACTTCGATATCCCGATGGCGAAGTGAGTTTATTCTATGCAAATATTCTACTTCATTATGACGTCTTTAAGCCTATTATAGTATACTAGTTTTGGTGATATCGTCAAGTAAAAGAGAAAGATAGATAGAGAGATGAGGGAGAGAGAGAGAGAGAGAGAGAGAAAGAGATTACGTTTGTGTGTGTGTGGGTTTGTGACGTGGGATAAATCAAATGAATGTACTATATTGTTACTTTTTTAAAATATATTTCCATATAAATCTAGTGCCTATTATACCTTTATGATATAAATCAGCACATTGCGGGAAAAAAGAGCACCCTACCATATTTTGATACCGGCTTTATAATTTGGATCGGTTCTTTTCTAAATAATAATATCACCTCTTTCTGCGTGTCCATTATCATAACCATTAGGACTACCTCTTCCCCCTTTTCCCTTCCTTCTCACCCCTTCTCCTTATCAAGCATATACATTTTTTTGTATAGATTTGTTGTATTATAGTATCATTTTCAATTGATTTTTTTAGGTAAAGAATGTTATCCTCTACATTGACGGATACATCGCGCGGGTCCAGCGGCCTGACCATGCGGGAAACGCATATTTTTGCGGCAGGCATGGGAAGTCTTGCGACTCTCTCAATACCCAGTATGTAACCGACCAATTCGGCAAAGTTCGTCACATCATTACAGGTGAGTTATGCTTTCAGTACATCCATGGCAAATTGTAAACTACTAAACCTAACTCAATTATAAGTTTTGTTATACGTTTGTGAAGTTTACTGTTAAATACTTAAATTTAGGTGGAGAATGTTATTCAACCATGTATTTCTAATCTGAAACATGTCAGTCCGTAATTATAATTGATTGTAATAAAATAATATAGAGATTAAGCAAAGCCAAAGTAGAAATCAACATCCCATAATTTTTGAACACAAATTAAACATAACTCAAACCACATAAACTATTTTTAACTGCTTCTATATATTCACCACCTAATCTCCATTTGTTTTACTTTTTTAAGGACTCCCCGGGTCAACCCGTGATAAGACCGCCACTGAATGGAGCAGGACCTTCATGGACTTTCTGGACAACCTCCCGGATGGATACACAACGATAGAGGACCCTGCCTACAGGAATCTCCACCGCAACGTTGGTCATCGGTTCGTGGGACACGGCCTCACTGATGAGCAGCAACAGTTCAACGATGATATAACAAGACTTCGACAAGTGATAGAGCGCACCATCGGGGCGACACAGCTCAAGTGGCGGATGGCTCAGATGAAAACAGGCTCGCAGCTAAAGGAGGGATTATCTTTGCGTCAAAACTCATCGTGTCCATGGCGGTTCTACACAACCGATATACAAATTACTTATAAGCTATCATTCTAGTAGTTAAGAAACCATACACAGATTTGGGATGGGTCTATAATATGCATTGCATTTCAGGTATGTGCCGCAGGAGACCACAATATTATTATTGTGAAACTTGTATTTTCGTTCAGGTGTAATACATATCACTCTGTATATCTAGTAATATCTAATAAATTCAAAAGAGAATATTCATCTTGCTCTGTTATACTATTTGAATCATTTCAGCCTTCTTCTGTTAAGTGCAAAGGAAAAGTTTAGTACTGGGAGTGTTCGAAATCCACGATTCACAAAGATACACAAATCGATGTTATTTTTTGAAAGTTTGAATTAACTGATGATCAAACAAAAACATAATGTAAAGGTTATGTTACCAGGTTGTCGTTGAACCATAATTCTCCCTCGCGCAGTTGAAGAAAGAACTGTTATTGAATAGGTAATTTGTCATTGTATCATCAAATATCTCTATGAGATTGTGGCACTTCCTGACCCTCCCAAAACCTACCTTCTCCTTTATAAGTCGCTCTGTTCTGACATAATCAACAACAACTTGTATATAGATCCACACAACACTAAGCATAACTATCGAAATTCAAATAATGTTTCCAAATAATATTTAATGCAAAACGATTTGACGCCCTATGTACATCGTGGATAGTTATTGTTCCTTGTCCTCGGTTTCACCTAACTGGACGTTGATCCCCAGGGCAGAACCAACCATCACCCGAAGTGCCGTCATCTCGTCGACAACCCTTCCCAAAAGGAAAATTACTTCGTCGTCACGCTTTTTCTTCTGTCCCCGATTTGTTGGGGGAGAAGCGGACGATGTGGATGGGGCTCCCGTCGCCTCCTCATCACCTTCACCTGGGATGACTATCACTTCCCCTGGGATGACCACGCCTCCTTCTGTAATCACTGCTTGAGGTTTGATCTATATAAAAAAACAAATAGGCGAAATTTGTAATGATTTCCATTTTCCAGTTAGTGAATGCATAATAAAGTTCCCATTGGTTTGCAATCTTAACTTTAAGATCCCAGTTTGCCAACGCAATTTTCCCATTCATGCATGTTTCTAATGCAATATTACTAACCTTATAATAAGTAGGCCCAATATATTTATATATTTCTGATAAAGATGTACACAGATTTACATTTTCCAAAGATATCTCCCTTGTTGATAAAATACATCATCATTATTTTACACTCTTTTACCAGTATGTAATATATGGTTTGACAAATAATACAAAATGAAATAATGAAATAATAATGATAACAAATAATGACAATAGGCATACCTGTCCTCCAGCTGGGAAATACAGCTGTTGGTACTCTTCAAAAAGCAAGTACAGCTCGGTTGATCCCCGGAGTACCGGATCTCGGGTGTCTGTACCAGATACAATGGTGTGCTGCAGTATGTCCCGGTACTCCCTGCCCAAGTTCTTCAGGAGATTCTCGGTTGCGTTCTCCTGGTAGCTGAGCTTGTCAGCTACCGTTTTGTGAAACCCTTTAGTTGTCCCATTCCGCTTCATTTGTTTATACACGTCGTGGCAGCTGAGGTACTCCTGCATTACTGCCATGATGCCCTGAAGTCTCCATGCCTTTCTTCTGTTTGCCATTGTTCTATGATGGGAAAAAAATATAAATTAAAGCATGGGCGTACAAACAGTCTTGTATAGTTTGAGATTCATGGGTTAGCAAAGTCATCAATGAGTTAATTAGTGTAACAATATATTTTCATTTGACTGCAACGAGTAGTTTGCGTTCTGGTGAGGAGAGAAAGAGAGAGAGAGAGTCGGAGAGAGAAGGAGGAGGGGGAGAAGAGCGGGCGTGTGGAGCAGGCACGTAGTCACGGAGGGGGGGGGGGGGGAACACGTGCCCCCCCCCCCAATTTCCAAGATCAGTTGAACTTGTTTAGGCCCCTTCCCAGGACGTCGATCAATTACATGTATGTGCTCCCCCCCCCCCCCTAACATCAAACTCTGGCTACGGCCCTGATGTGGAGGAATGAGCCATATAGGGGCGTACATGTCGTTGAACAAAATTGAGATTGACTTCCGCGAGGGTGGGGGGGGGGGGGGGCGTAAGGAGGAATTGATGAAAGGAGGAACCATCATCGTTAAAATACTTCTCTATACAACCTAGCCTAGGCCTACATGTCTGTACACCCCCCCCCCCCTCATACTCCTTTCTCTGAAGAAGAACAACAATACAAACACGGTTCGATATAAGTAATCGTGAACAATTTTGACAAAAAACGATTAGGCCTCAGTCTATATTGCCGTCCAATACAATTATTCATATAGGACTATCAGCTTAATGAGAATAGTCTAGCTAATTGCTTAAAAGTCGGACGTGATGAGGAGGCATAATTATGTGCCCTATATGCCTAAGAAACACAGATAACGCAGATTCACCGAATTGTCACTTGCTTCCCAATCCGGGGGGGGGGGGGGGGTATGCCTAATCACATATTATGACATACGGGGGGGGGGGGGTGTCGCTCTAATGACTTTTTCACACACAAAATCCCTAAACATGGGCCTAGTGGTTTCGGCTTGAGCGGCACACCCCCGTCCAAACCAAATCTGAGTATCTGCCTCCCTCCCCCTCCCCCGAATGTCAGATATTAAAGAGGTTGATAACCACGCCCACTTAGTGAAATTAACGGGATTAGCAGCTTCTTTGGGGGGAGCTCGGAGAAGAAGAGTATGTCAAAGGAAAGTAAAGTCAGATAGACTCAGAGGTCTAGTCTAGTATATGCCTACAGAGAATCTAATAAAACAAATTAATTCAACATAATAATATAACACCGATTCACCAAATAATCCAAATATAGCCTTTGTTTTTCAGCGCCCCTATATAATTATCCTTCCCTTTTTACAATTCACACACCAAAAAAAAAGCTTGCCCGATGCACTGGTTCGGCACGCGCATTAGAACAGCGCATCTGATCTGACGGGCCCGCCTGGCAGGCCGGCGCGAGTGTGAGGTAGAACCTGCTAAATAGCGTTCATGGGAGTGAACACTACTAGTGTGTGTGTGGTCGAGCTTACTAAATTTTATACACACAATTAAGATTGTACGTTGCATTCTTCTAGTCTCGTAATGCGCGTAGCGAGCTATCTGTCTACAATTAGAAGTTTTCTAGGAACCATTATTCATCATTTTAATTATTATTTAACATTTTAGCCAAAGAAATAATGCTGACTTACCACTGATTTTTCCGTCGACTATATTTAGACAGCTCCAAGAAGAATAACAAGGTAGGGTCTAAATTTATTGCAAAATATTGTTTGTATATTCGCGCCTTTGCAGTGTTCGTCTGTCTAGCGAAGCACTCAGCAAATCTGCTGCGCCTGCTTCGGGCGTCAAGGCTCTTACCGATCGCCTCGTCCCTTCGGATTTTCTTATATAAAATGGGTCATTCATGTGCTTGTTTGGAAGTAAGCTCACCTAAAAACGAACGGGGATTTCGTTTCAAATTAGACCTAGAAGGTAAAGCATAAACCTACCTTTTCTTTGCCTTTCTAGTATTTATTAGGTTTTAACAACATTTTCAACTTTCATTTTAGAATCTAGGCTAATTACTTTTTAGGTCTAAGCTCTAGTTCTAATACTAATTCTATGAGCTAGCAGTGAAGAACATTTTTTTTATTGGTACTACACTACATGAAAAACATTCTCAGAACGAGCATTACTAGTTTAATCTAAGCCCTAGACTAAATCCACATGAATCATTTCATATATTTTGTTTAAAGGCTGGGGTCTTTCTTTCAAAATTTCATTTGATGGATGCCGCGCCCCCTCCGATCCACCAAGCTACACACGAACGTACCCGAACAACAGTCAACGCACGTACGACGCTAATTTATTGGCTGACGAATTAATAAGAATATGTGAAACAACATGTCATTTACTATGTGATCCATACATTTCTTGTGTGTAAAATAAGTTATTTCATAACACCAGAGAAATAAGTGTAAATTTATTCTGTGCTTTTCATGAAATCTTTAGTTTTTATATAGTATTTTTAAATCATCGTCGTGAAATCAAATGAAATCAATTGCAATGCAGTGGTGTTTACGGTGGTGTTAAGCTATCGATATTGATATCGGTATCGGGCTCTTAATTTCATCAGCACATTTTTAGCTCGATTTAAGAGCTCTTGACTGCTCTAAACACTAACACTAACACTAACACCCAACTTGAAATCACTCACTGTATATACCCGAGCTTGAGCAACTTTAACAAAAACATCCCATAATTTTACAAATCATTTGAACTCATCAATCGACACGCGCTAATATAACGAATATAGTTTCCAAATCTTAATTTATTTCTTAGCTACATTCTTTCTAAATCGTTTGACTTATTTCGTTCATTTTTAATTTTCAGTAGAAAATAGGCAACATGTACACTACACAAGGGAAATGATACCTTCTGTAAACATTCTTAAACTGTATTTTATAGTTCATTCCCGCAATTTTGTTAGAATTATAATTTTAATATGCTACGGGGCCTATAGCCAAAAAGCTATGCTTTTATATCAGGCCCCTTAACATCCCCATTTTTGTTTGTTCATTAGTTCTTAATTAACAAATAACTACAAGCAAACACAAGTCTTTGAACTCATTGTATGTACCTAAGGTTATTGCACATACCTGTGTTTTGTTGATATATTTATATATGAAAACAGACCAAACTGAAGTTTGTTTCAAATAATTTTGTTGTTGAAAATCCATCTTCCTATTAGGTTGGAAGTGTGAAATGCTTTCTTAAATATTAAGAAACGAATAAGGTGTATTGACATGTACAATTATAGCATACTTACATTAAATGCATGTCTATCGGAGTTTAGCGAACCGGAAAACCTACATCAATTCAAAGAGACATGCAGAAGTGGGGGAAAAGAAGTAGCCAATTCAAACATTGTAAACAACAAATTACATAATTGATCCGATTCAATTTGTTCCAGAGTAAAACAATTTTCTTCTAAGGATAAAATCATTAAAGGGACTTGGTAACATTGTTAATATGAGAGATAGCGGTGCTAAGGTAGTGACTTCAATGCTAAATGTACAATTAAAGATAATCTGGAAAAAAAAACGAACCATTATTCATGGTACAAATAGACAAAAACTGATCTGATCGATTCCTTAATTCTCCTAACTATATTATTACAATTTAATTACATTTTAGGTGAATGGAAATCGTCACAAAGCAATAAAATGGCTCTACATTCCATTCCAGACATTTAAGTGTTGACATATTCTTTATAGCCTGATTTATGTATTTTGTTCATGGAAAAACGGTTGGGAAAATTCAAAAATGGTTGGGAGAATGTACTGTTAATCACTGTTAGAGGGTGTCATACATCGACCTTTTCAAAGAAAACCATAGATATCTTCGTGGTTTGAGAATTTGTTCAGCATTTTTTTGCATGTCAGAGGTTTAGTACAGTAGAAGGAATATAGTAAGTAACATTATGTACAAAAATTAAGCAATTTTTTCCATCAACCTTCAACAATGTTACCAAGTCACTTTAATGGTCACATGATTAAGTTATTTGTATTTCTATGATCTTTTCTTATGTTATCTGCACGGACAACTTCTTCAAAATGTTAAGAATGTTGTTTATTAATTAATGATGATACTTTGTTGAGCCTTGCGACTAACAGCAGTTTCTTTTCATCGCCGTATTGAAATAGATTGTTTTTGTTAAAGCAAAACCGTGCATGACCTTTGTCTTTACGTAACACCTGTATCATCTTTGGTACTTAATGAGTCTTTTATTCAAGTTAAAACGGCTTCATGTGGATACTTTGGTTATAAATGGATTAGTTTATTACGTCAACCTAGCCAATGAAATTAAAGGCTAATTAAATGCTGAATGAGGTAAATAACAAGATAGGAGGGGGCGGTAAACAAGCTTTCAATCAATGTTGTTCGACATAACAATAACTCACTGTTGAACATACAGACTAGCTGACATTACACGCGTTGAAGACTTGATAACATTGATCATTGCATCGTCGAGTCCGAAAACAACTCCGGACAATATCGCCTGACATTTTGTGATAAGAAGACCCAATCCTCTCATCCTCTTTCTCGACATGCTTGATACATTCTCCTCTGATTGGAGAGAAGAAAGGTCAATGCGTGTGAGATTCTGTTTTTTCAGATGTGGACGTAGACTAGTCTGAATCTGAGATATGTCTTCTGCATGTGCATCTCCGATAGAGATATCGACCTCTTCCAAGTTGGGAATCGATGAGAGCAGACATGTATAGCTTTGTGACGTCAGTCTCTCAGCTGATAGCTTTGTGACTTTTGGAAGCTTCGGAGGAGATGTAGGTAAACTGATAGACGAGTCTGAGATGTTGAGCGTATGTAGCATCGAAAATGATCCGAGGCAGGACCATAGTCCACTCGTCACGTCGGTAGTTAGAGTAGACCCCTCGAACTTAACTATCCTAACCTTGTGTTCAGCAAGAGAGAGGGAGAGAGAGAGGGGGTTAAGAGAGAAAGAGGTAAAGACAAATAGTCAGATAATCGAAGTAAATGAAGATATCTATTTCATCTTTAAGTCCAAAATCTGGCCGGTTCTTATGTTTCATCTCTATATTATTCTCTACATTTACTTCGAGCCGCTCAAGATGGCATAATCAGCAAACTAGTAGACCCTGCCTTTTCGCCGGGCTTATAAATCCAAATATCACGTCGTCTTCGGGTTGCAGCAAGTAAGGGAAGGTCAACGGTGGCGGAGATTATTTTCAATTTAATCGTCCAGATTCTGAACTGTCTAATGTCTTAATTTGGTGGTAATCATTAAAGCAAAAGCGACTGCGGCCTTATTTTATATGAGAATATTATTCGCTATAGTAATGGAAGCTCCCATCTCTACCTCCTTGGCATAAGTTATATGTATAGTAACGTCCATGTTAAATTTACAGATCCTTCGTTTAACATAGGCTACTCGCTTTTATTGACAGAGTCTCATCATTTACCCAAATGATCGGCCCTAGGACCTAGTATTATGCATGCATTATTATTTTCGTTTCTGGAATGCAGTACATTGATTGAGGCCGTAATTGGGCAATTGTGGAAAAGTAATGATAATTAATCATACGTCTCGATCATTTTATCATGCTTAGTATTTATTTATAACACAATCTTACCCATTTAACTTAGAGTTATGGCGGAGGGATGGAAACTCAATAAGGAATTTTATCGCACGTAGGGCGATATAAATAGTTTACACTCACTGCAGTGAAACCACGCGTAAGGGGCGGCATCTCTTTTGTGAATACCTTTTGCGTCATCTTGAGAGAAAATAATAACATGCCGACGCCCTTTGTGTCAGCACGGTATCTTTCATGAGCGCGTAGCTTATCCCGGTTCCTTCCCTGAAGCGAATTGGTGCAGTGTAGTGTAACATTTAAAGTAAAAGACGTATTCTATATTCAGTTGGGAAAGTTTGTGTCGTAGGTGTTGCTATTGTCATGATGTTGATATTCAGGGTAACAAGATTCCATCCTCTATTATAGGGATAGTTGAGTTCTGTTGCAAAGGGCGCTACACAAAATATTTGTTTTGTGAGATAATGAACAACTGACTGTCAAATTTGGAGGAACATACAATTTAAACGACAAAATCATCTTTGTTTGATCAAAATCGGTTCAGAGACGGCTGAAATATCTATAAATATAACGATTTCTAATACTTGTGTACCCCCACAAAAATTATATATTTTGAACCAGCCGTTGAAAGCCGTCGAAAAAAACTAAACTATAACGCCTTTTACGTTGTATCTCGGCCAATGCTGATGTTAGCTTTGTTGTTGGCTTTTTCGTGTTGGTTATATTACGCACAATCAGCCAGCCCATGTGTTGATATTATCAATTAATTAATTAAAGGTCATCGTATTTTTGTTTAAAGTGGAGCTGAATTGGTATGATAGTATTGGATAAATTTTACACATTTTGGGGTCTAAAATTACCTTCTTAGCAATTTTAGGTCATAAAAGGCCACTACAAATGTCATGGATTAAAAATAAGAGAAATAACCATGCACTTAGAAGGCATTTGCGATCTGAAAACAGAAAACTATCCCTTTAAATCTCAAGTACCCGCAAAAGCGCATTCCGTTTCATTTAGTTACTCTGAATATAAATCTTATTAAAATAATTATTGTAAACATATTGTGTGAATAGAGAAAATGTGTGCACCTTGTTTTTTAGTTCCACTGGAAGTTTTTGCATCCCAACGACGGTGTAGACAGTCGGCGACTTGAGAACAATACTCTGTGCAGTTATACATCGTTTAACCAATGGAGACACGTTTCCTCCAGTACCCTTGTTCTCTGATGAGCAGTCAAGAAGAATGCGATATCGCTCGCTCTCATCCAAAGAGTGGTTGGAAAGGAGCGCCTCCATTATTCGTATGCAAATACCGTTGTGTGTGCCTGCAGCGAATCGGATGAGATTCTCATAGTCACCGATGTTTCCTTTGATGCTTTGCAGCAGTCGGTCCAACTTAGAAATCCTCAGTCGTAACTTAAATTTCTTCGTTTTAGCAGCGAGGTATTTCCCAGCTGAGTGTTCCTGAGCGAGTTTGTGATAAAACTCAATGGTAGTGGAAGTGGTCTCGTTAGACTGAGGAAGACGAGTGAGTGAAACAGTCGTCTTGGATACAATCCCAAGATCACACGCCATATCGAGGGTTGTGGGAAATCGTTGGAAATCATCTGACGTGAAGATTAGTTTTTTAGCATTGTCGAGCAGACCAGTTAGAGCAACTTCGCCTAGTTGAGAAATTGTTTCCTTCATTTGTTCGGGTGTGATTTCCTCTCCTGACGTTGATCGGGCGTTTGCGTGGTGCATCAAAAAAAGATTCACGTTGTCAAGCAACTCTGTTTGGGTTGTAGTACCACTATCCAGCAAGCTCTCACTCCATAAGTGACAGACCATGAGACAAAATAAAGGTGTTTTAACAAGTTCATTAATCAGTGATTGTTCATCAAGATATACCTTCAGATCACCCCCACTATCAGGACTCGAAGTCAAAGCAAAGAATTTGTCAATGTAATCACGAGAGCTTTCTCTTGAGAATCCTTCGATCCACATCTTCGTGTATACCCTTGCAAGCTCCGCTTGATTGAAGAAGTTCTCTAGGTGAGGGCGTGTTGTTACAAGAACTCGACACTGAGGGAATTCCTCCAAGCGGATGACACTGACGATGTTGCTCCCTAAGCTTCGGTTTGAAGAAGAAATACCCGCATATTCATCTAGTCCGTCTAGTATGATATGGCAGATGCCTTGATTCTTTCTGATGAAACTCTCCAGACCCGCTGTTGTAAGATCTTCAACATCACTCAAAAGCTGGGATTTGATGGCTTCTCCGATCGAGGTATCCTGATTTGTGTTTCGGAATTTGACAACAAATAGAAGTGGCAGGTTTTCTAATGCTGACCCCTCTTCTCTATGAACCCAGTCGTAAGCTATCTTAGCAACGGCCGTGGTCTTCCCTCTTCCAGCCGGAGCCGAAATGAGGATACGAGCTGGTAGTTTGCCGTTTACTTTCGTTGACAATATTTCAGCAACTGAACCCGGGAGTATTTCCATCGTTTTCGTGTCCTGTCCTAGAGGGTCCTTTTTCACCATTGTGACAACCGTGTGCATATCTTTGAACTCGGCGTAGTCACTGTGATCCCATGGCTTCATTTGAATTTTGCACAGCTGATCCCGGTACTTGTTCTCCAACTTTTCGCGACATTGCTGAACAGTCAAAGATTCCGAGATCTTCTCACTGTAGATAGCTGAAACGATACAAGCAAAACGGAGTTAATTAAGTTTGTTTTCAATGCTGGCAGGCAGCCAGTGAAAACGAATTCGTCTCCATAGACTGACGTAATATAACCCTCTCATAGAGAATACACATCCAGCTATCCAAAACACCTCTCATCTCTACACCCATATACTTTGGGAAAACGGAGCCACGTCCGGGCCTCTAAACTACAAGCCAAATAGAAACCGCTCGCATTAGTCAGGATGGCAAATTCTTCGTCAGATGACGGTGATAGAGGCAAGGGACAGGTCAGCCCTCCAGCTTCCAGGACCCGTTTTAAGATGGAGGGCCGTCACAGTACGTACGATCACGAACGCGTACGAATATTCATCACCGAAATATTTACGCGTATGCTCCTAAGACGAGTACAGCTTCGAAGAGACTGATTTTTATTTATTTTTTATTTTTTACTTATTCAACGAATCAAGAGTCTGTGACATATTAGGGAGCAAAAGGCCACTCTACACACTTGTGAATATTTTTACTCATTCAGTCACTAAAGTTGGAGAATACTCATCCAATATTAACTTACATGTACTTTAATGAGTAAAAAGTCTCATCGAGAAAATAATCGGGTCACATACTCGTTTTAAATATCATATGTGTAAAATTTCACCAAATGTGTAAAATAATGCATTAGATATATTCTCTTGACTGAATGAGTGAGCTACGATTTTTACTCACCATACTGAGTTCCGTTTTTGTTGTGTGCAATCTAAATTTAAAGGCCCACTGCACTACTTGCAGCTACTTGCGCCCTCTATATAACAAACAATGCCTACTCGGTGACCATTGCTCCCCCATGATCCTCTTTTTCTTATGTTAACTGAGAGCTGAGTTGATGAGATAACCACCTGTCCAGTGACCTTGCAGGGCAGTCTAATCCCTCCTATAAACTACGGCAGATAAGCTTTAAGATACTATCTTCGTTATGATTATTACAATCTTGACTTAATTTGCATCCCTTGTTTTAGGTAACCCTTTTCATTGAGTGATACAATATTGGTAAAGTCTATGCTAATTTCTGTAATACTTATCATCATAATATGTGTTTAATTGCATATTGGTTAAGTAACCTTTCATTTGCTATACGGGATAGACACCTTATGCTCGTGTGAAATGGCGGAGCGGACAAATGGGCAGAGATAATTTAGATCGTATCCGGAAACCTACCTCCTTGACATCCACCTCGGATGACCACCCCCAAGTCAACTACCCTCTAGTATAACTACCCCTAGGCAACCACCCCTTAGGACAACGACCCCGGGCAAATCCCTCCGGACAACTACCCCCTGTATAGTTGTCCGGGAGGTAGTTGTCCTAGAGGATTAATGTTGTAGGGGGTAGTTGTACAAGGGGTTAGTTGTCTGGGGATGGTTGTCCTAGAGGGTGGTTGAATGTGGGTGGTTATCCGGGGGTAGGTGTCCTAGAATCAACTTAGATATCATGATACATTAAATTAGTAGAACAAAAAGGCGCATGCAGTATGGTTACCTACATTAGATCTATCAGCCCCAACTTGATACAAGTTGATTTTGACCACACCTTTTAAAGACCTTGGTGCTCAGTCACCCGTGACAGAAATAGCATGAATAGGGTATCATTGTACAGAACAGGTTGCTTTTCATCATCGATTACATTTCATGGAAATGTTCTGATTTCATGTTCTCAAAACAATTTACAGGTATAAGAGGAAACTGTAAGCAACTTAGCACTGATAGACCCACCTGGAATACTTGGTTTCCCCTTCAGATGTGTATCAGCAAGCATGACCAGCTTAGCGTCAGTGAGAGCTTGTTTCAGTCTATGATGCTGTTCGTAAGGCAACACGGTCTGTCTCCAGTCAAACAGCATCTCACGTGTTCCCTTACAAGTCATCCGTCCTTCTATCTTGTTGGCCTTTGTGTATCTATTGGTTTCTGCGACCCTAAATCCGAGTGTTCGTCCTAATTCCTCCATCTGATCACCCGTCTCGATGTCTTCAGCTAGCTTGAAGAGAAGATCTTCGGAAATACCTCCGTGTGCCACCATACCTCCGTGTGCCGCCATACCTATGATGATGATGAACACAAAGTGAAATAAGATTACAAACTTTTTGTTCGATTTTAATTATATTATATTTGATTTATTTTACCAATCAAGTATCCAAACAATTGAAATGACTTAGATAAACCATACAATATTATATTATACAGTGCGTCCCAGAAAAAACACGAAACCGAGAATTATTGATGTAGTATCATAACTTAATCACAATTGTAATTGATAAGTGACACAGATTTGTAAAGCTTAGATCCTCCTCTTTCATTTGATGCACGTGATATGATGCATATTTCACGCATGAGCGATTAAAATCAATTTGAAGAGACAAAACCAGAAAATCATTTGGCGGACGGTATCTGAATTTCAAAGAGAAAATCACATTTATAGAAAGTTGAGTTTCTGCCCTTTCATATGACACCTCAATCAGGAAAAATGAGCAAGTAATAAGAAAGTTATGTTTTTTTAAAGTAGTGCTCGAATTTCCATAATTTGATTAAACGAATTCGTTTTCACTGGCTGCCTGCCGAAGCAACAAACGGAATTAACAAAAGGCTTAACTCCGTTTTGTTGACAATCAGCCGTAGACGAAAGACTGTATGCATGGCTGATTGTCAACGAAACGGAGTTAAGTCTTTCGTCAATTATGCATGTTGCTACGGCAGGTAGCCAGTGAAAACGAATTTGTTTGATAAAATTATGGAAATGCAAGCACTACTTTAAACAAACATAACTTTCTTATTCCTTGCTCATTTTTTCCTGATTGATATGAAAGGGCAGAAACTCAACTTTCTAGAAATGTGATTTTCTCTTTGAAATTCAAATACCGTCCGTCAATTGACTTTTTGGTTTCGTCTCTTCAAATTGATTTTGATTACTCATGCGTGACATATGCATCATATGAGTTGCATCAAATGAAAGAGGAGGATCTAAGTTTTCCAAATATGTGTCATTTCTTAATTATAAATGTGACTAAGTTATGATACAACATCAATAATTCTCGGTTTCGTTTTTTATGGGACGCACTGTATAATAGAACAAATCAATTAGGGCGCGTTCATGCTTGATTTTGAAGGTAGAATGAGCGATCTGAAACGCTCATCATAAACGCTCATCGTGATCGCAGTTCCACGGTATACTGTTCATGCTTACTTCTCTGGCTCATCGAGGCAATTCTCCGTGTGTGGCCTTAATTGGTCTTCCAGCTGGATTCGCAAACCTTCACTGTGCATGCTACGTAGACCCACTAGAGGTCAGTGCGTTGACCCCATTTAAACGCGTTTACAAATTGTAAACGCATCTTTTTGTGAGTTTACGATCGGCGATCGTGATCGCCGTTTTTAGGTGATTCTACAAAAGTAAGCATGAACGCAACCGTGTTTTAAACTAAACGCGTAACAGATGCCTGATTCTGGCCAGAAAAAGTGAAGCATGAACACGCCCTTAGACAAGTAACGATATACTGATGAGAATCTACGTGATAAAATGAGTTCACAGAGTAAATTTAGGTTTGAGAATACAGTGTGAGTCAAAAAAAGTTTACACCTAGAAAATTGCTAATTATTTTAAAGACCATCTTTGAACAGTGAATTATTATACATTTCATGAATGAGTGTTTTATCCCAAATCATTTGGTATCATTTTTGAGTGGTATGTGTTCACGCTTGAATGAACACGAGGCATTGTTTGCGAGAGTGCAAAAATCGACTTGCGCCAAAGTTGCCTATCTGATGTTTAAATAAAACAATTGTGGTTTGGGTATTAAATCGGTTTTTGCAGATCCAATAACATCCCTAACAAAATTAATCATGCCACACAAATCAAATATTGAATATCAAACATCAACGAACATTTGTGCGCGCGTGTGTGTGCGTGTGTGACTTTGCTTCTGCAAAAAGCTTATGCAATGCATTTCATTTGATACATTCAATTTATTCTCTCACTCTGCTAATCCCAACATAATACATGCCTTGGGCATCACTTTGGCGCAAGACGATTTTTGCCCTCTCGCAAACAATGTCACTTGTTCATCCAAGCGTGAACAAATACCACACACAAATGATACCAAATGATTTGGCAGAAATAGCATGAATATGGTATCATTGTACAGAATCAGGTTTAATACTCTTCATCGTAAATTAGATTTCATGGTAATGTTCTAATGTCATGTTCTCAAAACAATTTACAGGTATATTAAGAGGAAACTGTAAGCAACTTAGCACTGATAGACCCACCTGGAATACTTGGTGTCCCCTTCAGATGTGTATCAGCAAGCATGACCAGCTTAGCGTCAGTGAGAGCTTGTTTCAGTCTATGATGCTGTTCGTAAGGCAACACGGTCTGTCTCCAGTGAAACAGCATCTCACGTGTTCCCTTACAAGTCATCTGTCCTTCTATCTTGTTAGTCTCTGTGAATCTATTGATTTCTGCGACCTTGAATCCGAGTGTTCTTCCTAATTCCTCCATCTGATCACCCGTCTCGATGTCATCAGCCAGCTTGAAGAGAAGATCATTGGCAATACATCCATGTGCCGCCATACCTATGAGGATAATAAACAGAAAGTAAAGCAATAATACAAAATGTATTGTTTAATTTTGATTGTATTTGATTTGATTTGATTTATTTTTCCGATCAAATATCTACAAATTAAAATGACTCAAATATACCATAGCATAATATAATATAAGAAATAAATTATACAAGTAACGAAATACTGACAAGTATCTACGTATTACAAATAAGTTTACATGGTCAATTTAAGTTCAAGGATATTTAGACAAAATATGTAAAATTGCTTGATATAACTGAGAGGGGGTAAAAGGGAATCTCAGAACAGATAGGATTGTTGAACGAGATTCCCAGTATAAATTAAGTACTAGACCATCGTCGGCGTGCTTTAAATCCTGCACATTTCTGCTCCCTTAGAGACCAAAGATGCACGATCAATTTAGTATTTCAGCAGGTCCGCAGTCATGATGGTAATGTAGCATTTTTTTCCAGTGGGTGAGGGGATGTGGGCTTCGAAATGTAAAAGTATATTTGTTGTGTTTAAGCAGAGAAGTAGGATCTTTTCGATCGAATTATAGGTAATTTGAAACCTTGTTCTTAAAGAAGTATGATAACAAAGAAAAGACTAGAAATGCAATCGTGTCACAACGATGTGCGTGCAATGACGCCATGTTTCTACGTGTCAAACGAAAGAGCTTCTCTCGGACTATCCAGAGCAATTTGAACGAAGTCTGTTGCTTCTGTGATATTGGAGATATTAGGTAGGGCGAAAGAAAGGCCTCAACAGTGACCTTGAAGGGATGGTAGTGACTATGCCTACGAAGTTTGAAAGAAATTGGGATAGGGGAAATAACCTAGAAAGGGCTCGCAAGCACTGCGTGCAAAAACCAATGGGATTTGGTGCATGTTCGTCATTGCAATCAAGATCGTTCTGGGGGCCAAAAGCGTGAACCCGATATGCCCCATAGGCAATGCGTGTAATGCATGGGCGGAAAACGTACAGGATATATACTATGACCGGAGTTAAATTGTTTTTTCTCTCTCTCTTTATGTCTCTTTATGGGTCGTATTTGGTATCATTTGAAAGAGAATTTCATGGTTGTTATTGTAAATCACTCTGTTTTTTTTCTATGATAATCCTATCGAAACACGTGATGTAAAATAGATTTATAGGACAAAATGGCGTCTTAAATAGCCCCCTTGACCAATTTCAAAAATCCGGCCAGGAGGTGCCTTGCGTATTGGAACTCGGCATGTCACTGCAAATTTTCAAGGAAAAAAAGGACGTTTAGGGGGTTAAAAGCATTCTGAAAAATTACGTCATAGCCGATACGTGTTAGATTCGGGCGGAAACTCGGCGGAATTCGTGTAGTGACCTTTGTTCAAATGCGATTTACTCACAATTTTCTGTGTGAACATATACTATACTTGGTATCATTCGAAACGGCACTTAATTGCGGTCAGTTTGACACCATTGTTATCTGCGCGCAATGTATTGCACGCATTAAACGCGCTATTACGTAATGCATAGTAAATTCATCATTTTGGGCGATAACTTTGCGCTGACATATTCGAATTTTACCAAACTTGGCAGACAGTTGTCACATATATAGATACATGTGTCTGCCAAGTTTCATTGACGTACGTATAAGGATCGTCATTTTAGAGCAAGTTGAATTTATTTCTCAATTTTCTTGAAAACTGCATATTTGGAGGGCATTTTTCTCAAAGTCGGTCAGTGTTAGGGAATATAATTTTGTATATGGCTGGAAAGGGCATATGTTCAAGTATCTAAATCCAAAAAAGGGTACGGGTCTGAAAAGCCATAATGGAGATACGGCCACAGAAAGAAAGCCAATTCCCAGAACTTTAGAGGGCGCTATTTATGTTTTACAAAGCCATTGGAGCGTGAAATTTGGCAGGGCTATGTGCATATATGAGATTAAGATACTGTAAGATTTAAAGACAAAACGTAATTTATATGAGAAAGTTATGGCAGTTTTAGATTATTTCTCAAGAATTTGAGAGATTTTTTACGGAGTCGGTTTCAGATTTGAATTTTGAGTACGAAGATGGCATTTTTGAAGGTCAGGTTATACGTCGCAGATGAAAGAACACCTCTTAGACTATCTAGAGGAATTTGTTAGAAGTTTGTAGGATCTAGGATAGTGGAGATAGGAAGGAAGATAGAAAGGCCTTAACATGGACCAGAAACGGACAAAATGGCGCCTGGACGGTCATGCATGACTGATTTTGAAAATCGAAAAAATTGGTGACCTAGATTGGATATCGGAGTTTACGCCTACGAAGTTTGAAGGGAATCGAGCAAGAGCAAAGGACCTAGATAGGATCCACAAGCACTACGTGCAAAACGAATGGGATTTTGGACGATAGGAAGAAGAAGTAAGAATATTAATAATGTGAACGAAAACAAGGCAATGACGAAGGTCGTCATTGCAAATAATACCAGAAAAACGAGATTTTTTAAAGAATACTTTCAAGGCAATGGCATATGATCAAAGTTGTTGCCTTTCACGTAATGCCGGTTTCATTTTTCGTGTTGCATTGCCAGAGTCTGAACTCCGGGGGGGGGGGGTTCCTACTGCCCCCATTTTTCAAGTACCCAATAAGTATCTTTTCTTACGAAGGACCCCTTTAATTTGAGAAGAGAGCCCCTTTTACATTGACAAGCGATCCATTTTCTTTGCAATAATTGTCTCTTCCTACCTGTGATTGATGCCCCTTTTTAAATCTAGTAAGTGTCTCTTACCCTGGTTATAAACGACTCTTTTTACCTCTGATGAGTGCCCCTTTCCTTTCCAGTAAGTAGCCCTAACCCTCTTTTTAGTGACCCTTTTCACTTCTGATAAGTGCCGCTTTTCAAGAGTGATATTCTACGCTTTTCGTTTACGACAAGTGCCCTATTTACCTTGAATAGTTCGCCTATATTTTTTTGGTTTTACATTTACGTGCCCGTTCAGGTTCTGAACGGAACTCCTTTGCTCCTTTAATAACAAAGTTCCCTTTCATCTTGGATGGATGCCCCTTTCCAGATCTAATGAGTCTCCCTTTTTAAATACGATTGGTTCTCCTTGCTGCTTCTGATAACAGCACCTTTTCCCTTCTAATATTGCCCCCCCTCCCTCTAATAGATGCCCTTCATGTATATATCCCAATTTTCGCTTCAAAATTCGTCCGTTAACATAAGGAGCCACGCCTACCTTCAAGGATTTGGAGCAGCTATATTCAGTAATAGGAACTTTATCTATTTGTCGGGGCAGGGGCCACAATTTTCAAAATGTCATATGTATGAATTGCGCCTCACTTAACCCGTTAACAACTGGCTTCCCGCATTCACATAGACCTAATACAGGAGCCACCCGGTTCCAGTAGGCAATGGATGAACAATAATTGTGATCATGCTCTTTTCAATGACATAAAGTATCCCTTTTATTGATAATTCATGGTAACTTAAAGGGATCATTAAACAATGTTAAATCTGAGAAACACGGCCCTACGTGTTATCAGTGTCTGTGATTATGGAGTAATATTGAAGCCCTGAACAAATTGCGCTTCAAAATGATCAAGAAGTGCCTCAAAAAAGTAAAAATCTATGAGTGACTGGTTTTACCACACTCGTTTTCCCCCAATAGACTGTAGTCTTATGAAAATCGTTTGGCAAACGGTTTTCAAAATTTGTAATTCCAATCATAAATATCTTGATAATCAGACAGGCGATCGGCTTGTAAACGTCATGGGGATCCTGACTGATCTAACAATGTATAATTATCATTGCAGCATGAGCTAAATCCAGAATTCTGTTTCAGAATCTGAAACAAAGTTACCGGATCCCCTTTTCACGCTCAAACGTTAGCTCATTTAAACTATCAATCTACTCATTTTGCTTGATAGGTATCTTCCAACCGATACGGTATCACCTTTAAATTCCTGTGCCCCTTTTTTAGCTTAAAAGAATGTGAAGGTAATCGTTTTCCCTTTTGTTTTAAAACGAAAAAGGAAACGCAATGATGCCCCAACGCCTTCAGTCATACGGTCACTTCTTCATTTGAAACACGCAGACTTTGATCATCGTAGACGTATTTTACATCTTATACCCAGGAACTCATTTGTAGATCCGTCAAATAATAAAGAGAGTTGACAACTATTTGTGGCTTTCATCGAAAGGGTGCGGTGCGGCGCGGCGCGGTGTGGTGTGCTCAACGCACCCATTCGATAAAAGAGGGAGGGGGGGGGCTTTTCTCGAAAGGGTGCGTTAAGAGCGGAGTACCGTTTTAACACACCCTTTCGATAAAAGCGGGGGGGGGGGGGGGGCTTTTCTCGAAAGGGTGCGTCGACTAGTCTTTCGCATCAGTCGTTTAAAATGAGGATCTGGGACAGAAGGTAATAGTTGCCAATTTAAGTATATCGAAAATGTATTAAATAAAATGGAATGGTTGTTGTTGTTGTTGTTTTAGTTTTAAGGGCGTGTGTCATTCAATTATGAATATTTACGCCGTCTTGATTACAGAGTGGTCTCTTTCGTTATATATGTTGATGGGGGAGACAGAGAGAAGGAAAAAGGGAAAGGGAAAGGGAAGATACCCCCCCCCCCCGCCAAAAAAAATGAATAAGAGAGAGAGAAGGGAAAGGGAAAGAAAGAAGAGGAATAAGAAGGAAAGAGGGAAACGGGGGAAGGGCAAAAGGCTCTTACCTCCCCCCCCCCCTCCCGCCAAAAAAAAAATAAGAGAGGGAGAGGGAAGGGAGAGGAAAAGAAAATATAAAAGGAAAGAAAGAAGAGGCAAAAGAATAAGAAAAGAGGGAAACGGGGGCGAAGGGCTTTTGAAAGTAAGAAACTTTCGCCCTTCCCCCGTTTCCCTCTTTCCTTCTACCTCTTCTTTCTTTCCTTTTATATTTTCTTTTCCTCTCCCTTCCCTCTCCCTCTCTTATTTTTTTCCCCTTTCCTTTTCCTTTCTCTCTCTCTCTTATTTATTTTTTGGCGGGGGGGGGGGGGGGATGAGGAGGAGGCAAG